CATGTTATTTTAGAGTGCACTTCGATGTTTTCGATTCTGATACTTTAATTTCTGCACGGCGCATTAGCTTGAAGCATCTTGTTTTGTAACTGGACGGCACCGAGTCTGTGCGTATTAATATTCATCAATCTCTCACCGTACGGACGGAGAAGCCGGTGTAGTGTAGTATGTCGATTACCTATTACGTCACTATTATAATTATTGTCTACGAGACTACTTTGCTGTCCACAAAGCTTAATAATTTTATCAAGGTGGAAATGGGCGAGTCTGCTGCCAGTCTAGATCGGTACACAATTTGGCACGTTTACTTGCCTAGAGTGGCGTTTTTCTTTCACTTAAAATATTTCACATTCATCAGATGAATTTTTCCTATTGATTATACGACATAAAATAAACTATGTGAGTTTAAATATAGCTTCGTACTGATTTTTCCTACGTCACATTTTATTGGTCGATCGACCCGTTTCACATAACAATAACATCGTAACCTATTTTGAAGTAATATAAGTATATCGCATTTTAAATATTCTAACTGAAACATGTATGGTAGATCATGTGAAGATGTTCAAGGGCCATTATGCCTATGGTTGTTTTATTTATTGTAATTGTAAACAGTGCGCTATCTGTTATTGCCATCTAGTCCAATGAATTATTATTTTGGCAGCGTCTGATCGCGGATGCGTTTTGTCTTCTCTATACGTCTAACATAACACCCGGTATTAATAGTGTGCGATAGTCATCTCGTTAGATAGTCCAGGAAATTGGGTCGATGACTCGTTGCCACCGATTCTGCATGTAGATGCTATCTACTGCCTTTGCTTATCAAGACAATTTGATTTAAAACAGCGAATTCGGTGGCTCTATTTTTTGTAAAAAATTAAGGATTCGTTTGTCTGGGGTGTGATAAAATACTGCTGCTCTATTTATTGACCTAGTTTTTAGATAGGTAGCTAGCTGTCTAGATACAATTCTTGCTCAGCGCTGTCATTGACCGACCCAAATTTTCAGGGGGTATGACGTTAGTAACTGAATGACATAGCGCCGCGTTATTTTAGAATTGGACGAGAAAATTTAATTTCGAGGTCACTTCAGAGGCAGATTCGTTGATATTGGAGTTAAATTACGTCACAGGTTGCGCACGCGACGATTTTTTTATATTGACTTTGCTGGTATTGGAACTTGAGCTAAATTTTTTGGCAAAGAGTTGAACTCATGACTGTGATTGAAATGGTGGCTGCCTGTGTACTATCAACCATCAGATACCTAATGATGTTGGTTTATTACTCTTATCTCGGAAGAGGAATTTAATCTCGACTGCATTTTGTACGTAAAATCAAACTCTATGAACAGTTACAAACGGGTGACTCTTGAGAATTTTTACGACAGATTATTTCTATTTTAATTCTTATTTAATGGGTCCTGTCATGTGATGAATCATGACTATATTTATGTTGTTTGTACCTAGAGAGATGACTGACTTTAGACAGTGGTCACATTGTGATGATGTCAGTATTACAAATTAATATTTAACATTAATTTTATTATTTATTAATTTCGCTCACTTATTTATAAATGCTGCAATTGTAATTCAATGAATGACCATATAGTTTGTTAAAAGTAGAATATTATAGTATTATAAAATAGTTAAGAAAATGCAAACCTTTTTTAAGTGTTTGCTGTGAGTTTTGTGGCAGCCATGACAAAATTACAATTACCAAAATTGTCTAACTATGTGGCCAACAACATTGGCCCTAATTGGTAGTGAGCACGTATGTTTTACACCGTAACACCTATTTAAGGTTTTATGTTCATTTATTTTGAACCCGAATGCATACAAAGAATATTTATCGACGAGGTGTTCAATATAATTAATTGTTGTATTTCTGGTTTTAGATTTATATAACGATATTAGCATTTTAATTATATACCGTTTGATTGGAGATCCGTTTTACTAAAAATCATCATTTTATTTAACAAATATTGTGTTTGAGGTTGTAACAAATAACCAATAGCAAACCTGCTTTCTCGTCATAGAAGTCTATGACCTCAAATAGCTATCAGCAGTTTTTATACCTACATGCAGGTACACCAATACTGTGCGCAATGATAAAATGGTATTCACAATACTTTAGTCGTTTTATATTATTATTATTTTTTTATGTAAATACACAAACCATACTTAAATATATATATCTTTATTTTCTTTTGGGGGTAAAACTATACATGTATCAAGTGCTAAAAGAATGTAACAATAACTTTTTTGAATAAGTCACTCGTATTAATTCCATGGTCTGTCGTATATGGTGTTGTATGGAGCCAGTCGGTAACAAAACAATACTTGCTTTAGTTAGATACGATACATGGTAGCAGCGTTTTCATCTGTAATTAGTAATATTGATGTCATACGTAGGTACCGGTAAATAGACCGGTTAATTTTATTAACATATCTCGACGTACCTACTTAACACAAGTATAGTACGCAATCTGTTGCATTCATTTCTGTTTATAACATTTCCATATAAAAGCCCAGTGTTCTATACAAATAATATATATATATATATATCCTCATTATTGTTCATATCATGTCAGTCCTTCCATTGTGGACCGATACAAAAGTGCTCATTAAAACAATTACATAATGAAAAGCTAATTGCACTGTACGGTGCTCGTACTCGACTCGAATATCGGTCACATCCGGAGTGCTCAGATAATGAGATGCCCACATCGATATCCATTATCAATTATGTATCACCCCTTACTATGACCATATTTATACCCCTGTATCGAGACAACTATGTATCGATTGATCGTTCTGTTATTCTCGTCTTAAGGCCAATGTATAATTGTATTGCTGCAGCGAATGTTCGTATTTATTTACAATTATTTACTTTTTAGGTATTTGTTTTTGGTTGTTGCTATGTACTTACCTATATTTACTGTCTAGATTCTAGAGCTACAAGGATTTCTTTGCCTCATGGGGTGGTTAAAAGACAAAGTTTAGGACCATTATCAAATTAAAGGGAATTGAACGGGATTTTCGATAGAAGAAAACATTTTTCTCTTGCTAGTTAAACATAAGATGATCTTTTATCAACAATCGGTACGTGACTCAAGTAGCAGGTTCATTGAGTTTATTTGAAAACAAATCCCGACGACAATGTAGTTACATCAGCTGTGCTCTTAGTTATTTTTAAAGATTTTAATCTGGGTATACGACAGTAATTGTACCAGCTCTCTGGTGCTAATAACTCTCTTTGGTATGCCAAGAGTTGACATGTTTTATGAGACATAAATGTCAAAAACTTGAACCAGCTCTACGTAAAAATTATCATCATAGCTGTGCGATTCAATTATAAATATTTCAATGAAAAATATATTTATTATGAAGAATAAAAATATTAATTGTTAAAGTGTATTGATAATTTCTTTACTTATGGCAGGTATATTTTATGGTTCGTAGCTCCAACCCCCTAAGCCAAGTTTTTTCTTAATGCCAATTCATCCTCTGGCAGCGAGCTCGTCGGTCCGGTACTGCATGCGCCAGTGACCACGGCACTGACCCTGCACTGGTTCCGAACTGATGCACATAGAGCTTCACTTACCGCTAACATTACGTGTTACTGTTCGAACCTATTAAACTTCCAAGTCGTTTTCAGGAAAACATTACTCGTACCTTATTACTGAGCTGCTAGCTGTAGAAATTGTAAGAAATAAAAAGAGCAGACTTAAGAAATTAATTAACAGCGGCCATAGTAATAAATAGGAAATTCAACTATTAAAATTATTTATACGCAGTACGGAGTCTTGAGAGCGAAATTAATGTCTATTAAATGCACTGCCTGCAATTGCAATTTCGCCATATCAAATATCTACCTATATACCTGTTGTGATTTATGCTTTTATGCGAATATCAATCTACTTCTATAAAATGCTTTTATCGACTTTCTACTCATATAAATTGCACAGGTAATTGGTTAAATGAATTTAATTTGATCGCCATAGTAAAAGTACAAAATAAAACAAAAACACTGCATTTTATGAAGTATTATGCAGAGTTTTATGAAAGTATTAATTAACTATTTGATCAATATTGCTTCGAGCTAATGTATAATGTAATGAACTGTAAATTCCCTAAACTATTGATATTTATAGGACTAGTAACCATGTATACGTGGTTTGTAAAAAAACTGTATCGTATCGGATATGACTTTAATTATCAGTAACGTATTCATCAACAACTACCTGTTTTATATTCATGCAAATGTATTGAAACTGTTTCAATTGTGTTTTTGCTGTGTGGTACTGTTTATTCATCAAGTAAATGACTTTCTGGGCTTATGATAATAATTGTAGACCACACATTAGATCTACATGCTGTGCACTTTTTAGCGAAGTTTGAAGAGCTAGCGATTCCTATACAATTACTGTTATTGAATAAATCACTTTGTACTGGCTGTGCTGAACTTGAAGGTAAATGTGATTTTACGTCGTGTGAAGAATACTCATTTGAATAAAACTAAGAAAGGGTGCTTACTGTCCCGTAAAAACAGTTAGAGACCTTTACCTTAGAGAAACAAATCGTGGCCTTACTGACCCTGGGAACTTGTGTAACCCGCCATGTTTGTACAAAAACAGTGTACCTTTCTATCTAAAATTTCCTGCTATACATGCAATTTCAACTTTTAAAATAAAGTCTATACAGCTCTGCGATATGTATCTATATTTTCAGCAATATTACACTACTTCAAAGGCATTCTGAGTGATGTGACCGATATACACGAATCGAATACAATAGGGTAGGGTAGATAACACATATCATAGATTAGGGTGCAAGAGAAGTCGGTAAAAATCGATACAGTACCATTTAATACTCTACATAGATACGACAGTACCTATTCAATATATTTAATAACTAGGAGTAAATATGATTTTAGTGTAACTTCATAATGATGTTAATTTCATTAAATGTTTTACACGAAACCTCGATATGTTTATTTCAGGCGTGCATAGACGACAACTTGGACATGGTGGAGTTTCTCGTGACGCACGGCGCTGACGTCAACCGCGGGGACAACGAAGGCTGGACTCCGCTGCATGCCACTGCGTCTTGTGGATTTCTCAGCATAGCTAGGTAAACAATAAGAATGAATGACTTGCACGACACTTCAATAAAAATAATAATATTTTGGACGCCTCTTAAACATCATTATGGATTTATGATAATTATCTTTAGTGAGCTGTCGCGCAAGTTGATCTAAGTCCATTGTATTTTTTAATGTCGCTACATGCAGGATTTTGTCATTGCACAATGCTATCCATTTCATCAAGTGCATTCATAAGCGATTTCAATAGTTCCTAGCGTGCATGCGATTTCGATTATTTGTGAAGCGTCATCAATTTTGTTTAGGTAATTCAGTAATTAAAGAGACATGATATGCTTATGTCACTTCAGAATAATCTAAGACTAGAGTTCCACGGTATTCTCCTGAGTTTCTTAACAATCAATCATTACTTATTTGTGTCATAATGTGATGAATAACGCAACATTGACGCAGCGTACCACACATGATAGGCGGCTGTAAACAAAGGTTGAGTCACACTGACCCAATAGGCACAGGATTTTCTATGAAATGACACTATTCATTCTATTAAGTTAATAAATGATAACATTATAGTAGTAAATTATTCATAGGCTTTTATTATTTACTAATATGGTCATATTACGTTAAATACTCTGTTGTTAATGTGCAGTGTATTTTACTTTCGTTATTATACGCTACGTGTTCTTTGCAACTTTAAGTGTTCTGTCAATTTTGATACTTGAAATGATTTGTTCGGTTTCCTTTTTTTATGCTAAAATATATACATTTCTTCAGCAACAACAGCCCCCTATTACGGAAAAGAAAATTAATCACTACCGTTGATAAGACATGCTTGCAGAAAATATTCATATTAATGCACTTCGAACTGTCCGTTCATCGATTTTATTGGCAGTTATTTTGAACTCAAGACCTTTTTCGATCGTGGTGCTATACTTGTCAATGATTAGACGGAATAACACTGAAAGCATTTTAAGTATAATGTACCATCTTCTCAGAAAATGTTCTTACATTTTCCTGTTGATTATTTCAAACTAAACACTATAGGTACTAATACAATAATATATTATAGTATTGACAAACAAATTACAATACTAACGATTTCTCTTGAGATACTCTACAAGTAACGCTGATTTTAATTAGTACTAGCGACCCGCCCCGGCTTCGCACGGGTGCAATATGCATAATATAAACCTTCCTTAAGAATCACTCTATCTATTAAAAAAAACCGCATCAAAATCCGTTGCGTAGTTTTAAAGATCTAACCATACATACGGACATACAGCGAAAGCGACTTTGTTTTATAATTAGTATTAAAATTGAAATACCTATGTGGCATCCACCTTAAGTTCTTTAAAGTATTGAAGGCAAGAGTAAAAAAAAAACCAACACCTTGTGCTTCCGTGGCAATAAACTTGTATCTTCTGTAATAAATTGATAAACCTGGGCTTATAATTTCTAATTATAAGTTTGAAATCGCCAACCCGCATTGAGCAAGCGTGGTGATTGATGCTCAAAGTTTCTTCGTGTGTGGAATACCCACACTTGGTAAATTTTTCAAATTTGTCTAATTATTAATTTATTTATAGAAATTTTGAATTACAAAGCACACTTCAACTACTACTCACAATAACATTTCTGATTTTTCTAAGAACTTATTTCCAGAGCAAAATGAAAGACAAACTTTTATACCACGTTTGACGATGGGGAAGAATTAATGTTACTACACATTTAAATATAGGAACCACCTACGAAATTATTTGCGTAGTATTTATTTATAATGTTACGTGTACCCATCAAAGGTTACTACCAAATCGACTTCTCGAATATTTTTGCAATGTACTTGAATGATATTCTTGGCAGCAATATCTGGGTATCTCTCGCAGTTGTGATTGGGTAGATCGTATGATATAATTCATCGTTATACGACATACTAACTGAAATGAATTGTTTATTATCGCTACCTCTACATTTGACTCAGTATTATGCAGTAGCTTAATCTGCTCTTATTTATCAGCTTTTAATAAGGAGTTATATTCCGATATTTCTATTTAGTTTATAGAAATATTCTTGTAGTTTCCTTTATAACAATACAATGTATTCTTTTTCTTCAGGTACCTGTTAGAAAACGGCGCGGACGTTGCCGCAGTGAACTACGATGGAGAACTGCCCGTGGACATCGCGGAAAGCGATGAAATGGCAGAGTTGCTGCAAAAGGTCATCGATGAGAAAGGTCAGTACTTTAAAACACGTTTATTTTAGCTATCAACACACATAATTGTAATTTTTATTGTCATCAGTATTATGACACCATTATTTAAAAATCTATTATTATATATCGTCCTTTTAAGTCCTAAACGGTCCATTGTTAACCATTAGTCGTAGTCGTGTCTCAATTTGAAATGACGTAATGGAAACAATCACCCAAATCGTATTGTTCAAATAATAATTGTATATAGTTAGATACGTATCCACCACGATGCATCTGTCAATTACATTAGGAAAAAATAGAGTGTAACCATACAATCGAAATTCACAGCTGGACTATGGACGGGCCTCAACCTCGTCTACAAAAGAAACCATCGCTTCACGCTTGGTAGTTATTGGCGGTTGTAGTTTAAAAGGTTCAGGTTAACCAGAGACTGCTATTGCCCGCTCTTTATTAAATGAATAGTCCCTTAGTCTGTTCTTACGACTCCCGTGGGAAGAGCAGGGGTGATGACAGATGTAATATAACGTATGCCCCTTTATTTCTCAGGCGTGGACTGCGACAAATCCCGCAGTGCTGAGGTGGACACGCTGCTGAGTGACGCTCGCAATTGGGCAGCTAACGGCTATGTTGAGGTCAGGGACATGAATGGAGGGACCCCGCTCCATGTTGCGGCAGCTAAAGGATACATCGATGTAAGTTATAATAAGAAACTCCAAAGAATTTCTAAAATACTACCTACCTAAGGTACTTCGACATAAGGTCGCATACCGATGTCGATGTTCCCTAGAAAAAAGATCGCAATCAAGCGAAAGACTTATCGATCGCTAAATTCTACATGGTAGTAGGAGATGCGCTAAGCAGAAGCCAGTAGAAGCATATTGTGCCTGAGGCTGACCTTGACCCTCGGATATGAGAAACCGATGTGTTACAGTGTATAAAAGTATTTAAGTAATGCCCATCCTAAATCTGCTGAAATTTCAAAACTAGCAAAACCATTTTTTACAATACAACATCAGTAGCAGCCGGTGACAGTCCACTGCTGAACTATAGGCCTTGTCTACATAAAAGGTGCTTGCTAAACACAAAAAAAGATTTGCCATTAGCCAGGGATGGCAGTTTAAAAAATTCAGGTTTGTCAGAGTGCGCTGCTACCTAGTCTCTGTTAAATGCGTACTTCGTTTGTCGACTCTTACAATTACTCATGGTTAAATTAGGGTGACAAATGTCTTTTACTCCGCAATCAACACAGAGCAGTTTTTTAAAGTATTAGACTGTCAATAGAAAACTATTTAAGGCAAATCTTCCACTAACTTCGGCCACCGGTGACGGTATAACATGTTAATAATAACAAAAAAATTAATCATCTAAATAACTTCTACCCATTTTGCGTGATATCGTGACCAAAGCAAATAGCAAATCCTTTTTATTATGTAAAAACAGTATAATTAGATATGATATTATATTGAAACACGCATTCGGAGACTGATGAAACAATTTTCCATATATGAACGATAATTAAAGATGTTCCTGTTATGTTACTACCTATTCTCATGGCAAAAGGACGAGTAAGTATATTCCTAAATAACGACTAATAACTCAGTTCTCAGCTCTGTGTTGCTTATTAAACATACAATATACTAGCATAACAAGTTACTGTAATAACATCACAAATGTAATAACGTCACCCCGCCCTGTTAAACCCGCCCGCGAACAGGGGCACATAATATGCAACGAAGCATCCACCGTTTCATCAGTCATGCTATTAGTACCTTGAAATCTGGGGAAAATCTATTCCCATACACCGGACGCAATTCCTGACTCGGAACCATGTATATCGGAAAATTTACGATAAGCCTCCGATATTGAGTTTGTCTACCCTAAATTTAAATCTATCCACCAACAAGTGTTTACAAGTGTGTAGAATCAATCTTTATGTAATATTTATATTTATACTTACTTATTTCTTAGGTGGCTCTTACTCTGCTAGAGGGGTGCAGCGCTGACCCAGACTGTGTTGATTATGAAGGTTGGACGCCACTCCACGCGGCTGCTCTCTGGGGACAGAAAGAAGCAGCCGCGTTACTTCTCCAATACGGAGCCGACCCACTTATCAAGAATTATTCAGTAAGTTTATTGACATTTATTAAATGTTTAGCAAATCGTTTCTATTTTTCTATAGTTCAAAACTTCTATGTCAAAAGTACTTATGGTTAATAAAAGAAATCTAATATTGACTTTATTATTTTATTAATAGACCATGCATTTTACTTTCAGGGCCAAACTTGCATGGACCTTGTCGATCCCGCGATGACGTCTTGGCTGGCTGACGCGATGAATGCGCAGCGTCGCATGAACAACAACAATAACAAACGCAAGCGTAGCCCGCCACAACATGACGCTAAGCGAGTCGACATCGAGATCAACGCGCAACCAGAGAAAGTCGTCAACGGTAAGACTACAGGTGGCTTCATTGTTTATTCTTATTCATGTTGTAGTTGTAATTAATATTCAATATCCAATCGCAAGTTTCATTGAGCAAGATTTTAGACTACTACTATTTGTTGAACAGCGATGAAATAGCTGTTTAATTTTTAAGCTCTTGATTTGTATTCACAAGCCTGGACAGCAAAATACCTGGCGATAAATTCACAAGTGGAAATGCCTTGAATTTGGATGCCTTTAAAGATCGACTTTTTGACCTTGTTATCTTTCATGATGAAACTTGCTTCAGGATGTTAAGACATAGACTTCAGACTCAGTTTGTGTCCACTGTGATGTGTGTCATATGGTAAGCTTAACTCATTATCAACTTGGATTTATATGTAATGTGTTTGATCCTTTTTCGTCAATGAAACGACACCTAGAACATCTATCGTAACTGCTATTAAATATGATATTATGACCTCTCCTTACACATAAATCCTGGTTCTAGAAAGTAGTATAGAACATGTACATAATGTACTATGTAGCTTTCTGTCTCGCATATGTGATGTAGTCGTAAAATGCTTCGGGTAGCCTTCGACGTTGTTTCGGGTCTTACTCTAGCAGTCTAGCTTATATCAGAAAAAGTCGAAGTCGAAATAGTTGTAAACCAAATACATTCTGTACATAACAATAATGGCTCTACGTACTTTTAAATGTAATAACATGTTTCTTTCACAAAATGTTGTAAATAAAATTTTCCTGTTTATTAGAACATGATTTTAATGTTACCTTCATTTGACACAGAAGTTACTGATATAGTAATTTGTGAAACAAGCTTGTTATTTGCTATATTAAGTCGTAATTGTTGTTGTTACTGGTATGAGTGTTTGTTGTGCTAACAGCCACTCGCCCGATCAACTGGCCGAGGTCACATTTAACTTCATATTGCCTTCGGGTTTGGACAACATATCTCAATTTTAGTACCAAAATGGATACAGTGTCAAATAATGTGATGTCGGTTTGAGACTTTTAGAAATGTTGTTCAAACCTATCACTCATTCATCACCATTCACGACAGACAAGCCGCCGGCATCGCCTGAGATTGCTAAGACGGAGGGCAAGCCGCCTCGAGGCAGGCCGCCTTCGCCAGAAAGCACAGAAATAGAATCGTCGCCAGAAGACGCGCCATCATGGCGCAGATCTGCCTCATTCCGTAACAGGCAACCTGAACCGACCAGTAAGTACCGGGGCTTTGGACTGCTAAACTCTTATTTTGTATCATATTGTACATTGCCATCCGATCACTATGTTTAATTCACGGTGTGACCACATATCGTTCCTATACATTTGTCAGACAAGCCGAGTATAGTCGTAAGGATACAAACCCGATTTCTTAAAGTTTGATCAATGTATGTGAGGTATTGCTTTTGTTTAAGTGCTTATTATTATTTTATCTTACTATTATATTGATCGCACTTTCAGGCTTAGTGGGTTTAACGTTCATATACCGTATTTATTTATGGAATATGGCTGTTGATAACAAATTAATGAATAGATAAGGTTTTACTACATGAGGAGCTGCCATGTACTATATTGCTCTAGTTTTATAGCTAGATTGTGTAAATAGTAGATATAAAATATGTTTATTTCTAAAACCATCTTATTGATTGTACATTTTATATTTTCAGGGGAAAGTAGCAAGACGGTCAACAATGCAGTCGATAACGACACCATATTGAGACGAACACACAGCTTTGAAAATGATAAGAGGTATTTATTAGATGTAACTTGCTTCATCTGTACTTCATTAACATTGTACAATTTATTTTACAAGACGTTCTGTAGAAATATACAAGAGTAAGTGCATAATAAAACTTCAAATAAAAATGATAAAATATACGTGTTTGAAGCACATAAGCACAGCTGTCACTACAAAAAGCTCCACCATATTGATTGGTCGCTATTGAATCAATGTACAAGCAACATTTCAGTCGAAGACAGACATTTTAATCAATTTATATGCTTTTTAAAATCTTAAGTCGAAATACTGTATACTAAATCGTATGTAGTATGTCTCAAATGGCAGACAGCCAGGTTTTATTTTTATTGAACGTCTACACAAAGTAAACTGTTGTGCAATGTTAAAGTAACTCTGTACAAAGTGAATTGTTCCATTAAAATTTTGGCATGACAACTAAAATATCGATTAAAATATAAACATTGTTAGAGCATTGTGAGTAATCTAAGAAAGCTTTCAACTAGATGTGGCCGATTGAAGGTCGTGCCGTACCTTTTTGGATAAGGTTGCTGCATGAAAGTTAAAGATAATAATAGATAGACATCTATAAAAAATCCTTAAAATAAAAGAAAAGTAGTATTTCGGTCAAGTGACTTTTTAAACAGGTTATTACTATGATGAATTTAGGTCCTGCTTTATTACTGCCGATTAAGTTACTGTTAGCTTAACTGATGAAAGATTTGCAAAATTCGACTAGTAAGAGATAACTGGAACCATCAAAATACAACTACCTCCTATCCTAGACACTATTCTACCCAAAGGCACATTATTAGCATGAATAAGCAAAGATATATCTTTGCACATTCGTATGGGTCACCATGTTTTCACTGTATTTGTTCCTAACCTCAATGTCAAATGTCTTTAATGATCAATAGAGTGTTGATATATTTGTCAAAACAGTTTCTGCTTATATTATTTTGCAACACATTTTCTATTATTTTGCTCACAATTCTTTATAAAATGTTTTAAGCTTTTTCTTAAATCATGTTCAAGGGTTTGTGGTTAGCTCTGGCATTCAAATTGGCGTGCTTTGATGTTATGTGGCGTTTTGGGAATCTTTAACTTGCTACAGGGAAGGCGAACCAAAAGGGGGACCTTTACGTCTTGTAATTTTAGGTTTTTCAACAATTTTAATATCGATTCTATACATATTCGGGTCCCATGCACTTGTCATTCAATTTATTTTATTTCAAGAACACAGTTTATTTATCTTGCTATTGATTATATTACGTTACATGACTTCAAGTAAGTACGCCAATGCATGCTAGCACTAACCAACAATAAAAAATAACGTTTAACAATGTGCTAACAAGTAACTGCTAAAAAGACATTAATTTTTCTTCTCAATTGGACACAAAAGATAATTGATAAATTTTAATTTAATTGCAAAATAAAAATACTAAAATACATGATGTAAAATATAACGCGGTAAAAGTGTATGGTGGTTGTTTACAAAACAAATGTTCATGAATCTTTTTTAAGGTATCCAAAATAAACGTAATCACACTTATATTTACTTATTGTTTAGCAATAACATTTAAAACCGTTTGTTGATATGAAATATAAGTTTTCTGGAATATTGATAGAACCTCCATAGGTTTCAGATCTAATCTTGCTATACAAGTGAGTGAGAGATAAATATCAATTTTAATGATATTGATCAATATTATTATGCATAAAGGAACAAAAAATATTAGTTTTTTTTGTATGATTCCAATTAGGACAAATAACAGTCACAATACACTTTTAGCAAAAAAATTCACTTGGCTTTTGGCAGACTTGTTCGTTTCTTCGACATGTTGTTTATAACATTAAGGGCCTGTTTCACCACATTCATATAAGTACCCAATAAACTTTTGTTTATGCAAATTAGTCAAATTACATTTTATATGCAATCAAACTAGTTACTTCACCACGATATGTTCCGCTGCTAAGGTCCTATTGATCGCAGCGGATTGTTTTATAACCTCTTTTGACTATCCATCACAAAAATAATTAATTGATTCGTACCAGTAGTTACAGAGATTAGCGCGTTTGAACAAAACTCTTATGTTTATGTATTAGAGTATGTTGCGGTTATTTAGGCATGTGAAACAGGCCTTTAACATCGCCTACGCTACGTACATGTCGCATGCTTGTGTGCATTGTAGCTTCTACCAGCGGTATCGAGACGTGACCGCACGTATAAAGGCGTCCTCCTGTCCGTCAATACCGCCGGCGCAGCCACCAACGGAGAGGAAAAAAATTCCAGAGCACACTAACAATGCTACAGAGAGTAATAACGACGATGTACAAACAAGGTGCTCGTTTATATCTGTTCATGATCGATGTGGTTCGCTTTTGGCACTACCTTTAATATCATTTTAGACCTTAAAACCAAGTTAGTAGAATTTATTTCGAGGATAGCATAATGTTGATACTCGACGCCCAATGGATCCAAAAGATCGGGTCTTATATAAAATAGTGTCATATAAAATGATGATAGTTGTCCTTAGAAACGAATCACACCGATCGATACTATTCATGTATTCATGTCGTTACATGAATATTTAATATTCATCACAATAACTGTTATTTATGTCTCGCTATGTATGCTTATCGTTGTTGTTCTATGTGTATGTATATGTTAGTGCTTATATGTATATATGTACGTATTTTATTACACGACTCACTAAGTACCTACTCAAATTTGTGTATGGCAAAAATACTTAATACTTAAAAATCATGATAGGATGTGGATTTGGAATATTTAGTTTATTCAAATTTCCCTTATATGTATTTTGATATAGTCAGCTTTAGAGTAAATTTATACACAAACATACATTGCTGAATCAGTATAATTATGTACACTTGTACAGCGACCGGCAGGTCAATCTGCGTCTATCTGTCAGTTTTTTAACTGCATTTTCAACTTTATATTCGAACAATATAATTGAAAATCAAAAAGTAACTAGACCTGCTGGCCTCTGTTTTTTAAGATGTGTTTTGTATTATATCGATATTTTGTATTGTATTAGAATAAACCCTTCGGACAGACGGGAAAGGGAAGTGAACACGTGGAGCGGCCCGACCACTACCACGCCCAGTGCGAGTCCGACCAACACTACCACCACAACGACAGTCAGAAGGTATGATAATATTGATACATGCTTTTTACACACAATATCACTCACGTGGGGAGAATTCTTGAAAGAGAAATCATGCTTATCTAAATAGAAAAAGAGTTTATTTTTCTATGACCATGCAATAAAGGCGAAATCTTTTCAAGAATTTTACTGCCATATTTTAAAAGAATGAAATCACAATGTAATCTAAACAAGTAGATAGCAGTGTGTACGTGTTAGGTAAATCATGTTTGTCTTAGAAACAAGTACAGAAAATTGATAAGAAGAATTGATAGAGAAAAATGTATTAATATTGAAAAACCATTCCCGTTATAGGAACTGTTGTCCATACTTTCCAACACATTATTGGTATCCATATCCATACTATACAAAGTTTGGTATTATGTGAACAGTTCCGCGGAGAGCGTAGAGTCGAACAGTAGCAATACGTCACCCAGCTCTGCTACGCCCACCAAATTGTCGCCTGGGAACATATTCAAGAACTTCTTCAAGTAACCGCGATGTTTTGTCAATACTTGGACACGAGAATTGTGACCTTATTCACTTATACCTAACATCTTTTTTATTACAAATAGTATAGGTAAATAAGGTATAACCGAGTACCAGAAATAAGTTTTATGAGCTAAGTTTTATGTTTTTTTTTGTAAATTTCAGTTCATGATTCTAGTTCTTACCAGTAACAGTTCTCGTGTTCAAGCTATTCCGGTTTTCTGTGTGTTAGTTATTATCATTTGCGCTTCGTCTGTTTGTGCTCGGACGATTTTATTTGCGTTTTAGTAATCATAATAATATGGTTTTAATATCAAGCATGACAAGTTTGATATTTTATTAGACGTGCTGCATGTCTAACAGACTTTGAGAAAAGCATTGGCAATAATTGTTATTGATTTGCTTCTTTTGTGAAAATGTAGGGAGTGTAAAGAATGGAGTCTGAAACGATTATCTATACAGGTCGTTTGTGCCCCCGGTTCGAGATGAGGAGAGTGAAACTCAAAGGAAAGCTCACGCGAAAAGAGTGCGTGAAACGCGACGCTCCACGCAGGGCGTCACTCTCGACGAGATCAAGTCCGCAGAACAGCTTGTCAAGAAGAAAGCCGGTAATGGGACCACAGAGAGCCCCTCACCGGGCAGCCAGAAGAAAGAAGAGCCCACACCTACTCCCGCGCCACCACCTACAGACAACGGCTCGGTACGTCACACTAAACTCCCACCTAACACCATACTACATAGAGTTCCACTACTCTATGTACACAGTAGCAACAGGGTAGTAAGGATTAAATACTAAAAATTATGATATTACAAAAAATTGCTTCCAAAGTGACTAATCGGTAAACGGGAATATGCTTACTTTAGAGAAAAGTTTAACACTTAAATATTTTTTGAATAGTTCTTCTATTAGATGTTTTGAATGATTTTTGTCACAAAATTTCATTAGGTGTTCATCAATAGTTGAACAGTATCCAGACAGACTAGTGTAATTTGAGTTTCCTATTCCTATTGGGCCATTTAGTATCAGTTTTCTGTAAATTATTATAAATTAAACTGATTGACCAGTTGTGAGTTGAGTATACATATTGTATCAAATTGGTCTACAATGTCTTTAGATGAGGAACAAAATTGCGGAATAAAATGTCCACATAAAATTACACTGGTTTTGCAATACTTGTATATACGTTGAGTTTGTATTTTTTGAGTTCTTTTTTATTTGTAATTTTTGTATCAAAACTCATTGTGACCAATGTGTGCTTTTCATGTCGCCCTGTGTTTATATGGCCATTCGGTTCATGTCACGATTCTCATAAAATAATGGAATTTCTCAAACCCAACTATTAAAGAGAAAAAAACCCAAAAAGATTAAAAATAAACAATAACTATTATTACCACAAATGTTTTTTTATTGTAAATGGGGGCATTCAAAACAGTTAAAATTGGATCATTTTGAATGGATCGTAGAGTATTGATTTGTGGGGTATGTATACTGTATAGGCGCGCTCGTCGACTCCGGCCGGCGACGTGGCGGTGTCGTTAGCTCTGGCGTGCGCGTCGGCGACGGCAACGGCCACCATCGCTGCCAACAGCGAGCGCCGTCCCTCGTGGCGGCTCAGGCTCGACCCCACTAACAAGGTGGCTATACCATAGCGACCATCGAACAAGATTGTCCATACACACCTTTCACATCTTACGGAAAATGCGCCGAGCGTATCACCGTTGTACGCTCAACGCATTAACGCATCGGTTAGATGTGAAAGGTTGAATATATTTGTGTTTCTGGCCGATGATACGCGATGCATTTGCCGTCAGATGTAAAAGGTCCGTTAGTCTATGATGAAGGCCAATCCAAATTATCGCCATACTTTTTATTAATTCATTGGTCAACATGAAGTTATTAGCTTTTGATTTTTATTTGCTAAATGATTAGTTTTTAAATTTGCCTTTTCTTCAGCGTACATTGTCATTTCTTAGATCATTTAGTATATCAGCATGGACTTATTTCCTGTTCCGTTACAGTATTTATTGTATGTTATTATTTTGATACTGTTATCAAAAAAGTCTAAAATTAAATTGAATTGTTATAATTATCTGTAAACTAAGATTGAAGATCAAATAGTACCTACCCAAGCTCTAGTCGCCTTAGTCATTATAGACCAGTCATTAGTATAGACAATCTTGTTTGATTCAGTCGTTGGGTGGGACGCGCATGGTGTGGAAGTAAATTATTTTTCGCACTAAGTACAATGATAAAATTCTGATTTTGGGACTTAATTGATGAATTTTTGTCGATGAAGATTTATTACTTATGAGGGAAAGAGCCAAAATATAATTCAACTCTGTAGTAAAGTGTAAATAATACATTTAACCCTATGACCGCTACGCTCGTATCACGAATGTCCTTGCAACCAATATATAAATATTAACAAATTGATCTCATTTGACAAGTAACTAATAACATTTGAAACAAGAATTCAACTCTTGATTGCAACTGTAACAATCCCGGTTTTGGTTGGTGCGTCCTGAAAGCAGTAGTCGGTATAAATTTGGACATTGACATAACATATGCAATAACATTATCATTGTCATATGTCATTGTTTTTCAGTGTCATTATCCCAACATCAGAATTTGTTCGTTCGTTGCATCTATATCAAATAAGGCTATCGTTTTTCATTCCCTAATTGATGCTAATTTGGCGTGAGGTCTTGTTTGTCCAATATATCGAATCGTTGTCAAAATGTTGGACAGTCAATATCTGACAGCTATCGTGATTGTTCCCACAATAGTCGTATATACAACCTCTATAATAATTGTGGATTAGCGCCATGTAGCGCGAGCAAAAACGTTAGCCCTTATTGTTTCGTGCACCGTTCAATGCGTAGTATGTATGTGTGATTTCTTCAGAACAAATTACGTTTTGCACAGTTATTGGATTTGTAATCAAAGCGTCTAATGAATTGAAAAGAAAACTTAAAATTTTTGGACGATCGATCAATTTTCTATTACCTGCATAATCGGCTAATTTGATATACAGGAAAGAAAATTAAAATTAATTCTGTATTTAAATATACCGACAGTAATAGCTGATGCCATACTAATTTTATACTTAAACTATCAAACACCAAGCGGTCACCGGTGACCGCAACCTATTGTTCTATAATTGTGTCTACAAAACCGGTACTCGACGAGTTAAAAAGAAACCATTTCTGTTGTAGCCATTGGTTGGTTCAGTAGCCATAGAAGCCAACCAATGGTAACCGGTCTCTGTACTGAATCAATATTTATTTTAATTATTTCTTCACCTGTATACTAAATAATTTGGCTGATTATACAAAGGAAAAGTCCCATAACTGTGTTATTTGTCCTACAATCTTATATATATGTTGCATCTACAATTATTTGTCTGTTTGCATATATGTTCCTCTGCACCAGTGTGTAAATTTTAAGAAGTTCTTTCGCTATGACATAAAAGTAAGCGATCAAAGATTTATTTCTTAGCAGAAAACTTATTACGTAGCGGCAGATAATACTAGCTATTCTAATTCATAGAATGATTACATAGACTTTTGATTTTGAAGTCAACAGTGGGGATATTTTAAAACGTATGTGCATGTGTGTAGTTTGTATGCTTATTAAAACAACTAAACTGAACGCACTTTGCTTATAGACGCACGTTTTTATAAATTTTGCTGTATTTTTTGTAGTAGTAGTTAGATAACTATGCAGTTTGGTACACTACTTAAAATGGTAGGTAGGTTAAACAAGTTACATCGAAAAATAATTTAAGAAATTACTTAAATAAATTGGATTCTCAGCTACGTTTTCTTAAGCCGTACAATTTGTGGTGTCACATTACACATGCCAGTAATGGGGGTATTGTGGCAATATAAGAAATGATATGTTTCTATGCTTAACGCACGGTTTTCATATCGCGTGAGCTGCATGCAATATGAGAAGTATATGTGTCCTAACACACGCTCCTGTTACCGTGGTAGTTACTGTGTAACCGGTGATGACTGTACTTGAAATGTACTGTTTACTTCCCCGCCGGGTTTTAAACGCCCGATTCCCCGAAATGGGAGCGTGTGAAAACGGCCTAAAGGAGGAAAATTATCGCCATGTCAATGTTTGGTTCATATCAGGAGCATTAAGTACTTAGACTATAGTTTATTAAATGCATATGTACAGATTATTACAATGTACCTACAAATAGTATAAACAACGCTCTAGCAGTGAAAGAAAGTGATGTTTAAACTGAATCATTTTCTAAATTATTATATTCTCCGACAGAGAGATAATTGCGACGAACTGTAATTGTGTTTCCAACTGTACTTATTGCTCCTATTTTGAGCAAACAGCTAGTATTCTGTTGAACTGCACATTTCTTTTTTTAATTAATTAGTTTATTTGATATTAACAGTTTGAACTCGAGGACGCCGGTCGGTCATCGCCGCGACCGGCCACCACGGCGGCCGAGGCGACCGTCACTCTCCCGTACCGTCGCCCACCCACTGGTTCCAACGCGAACACCACCACCTCCACACCTAAAGATGATAATAGGACAGGTGAGATACGACATTACAATATTCTTCTCTTGTTCTTGCCTTATCCCAAATTATTCGGTCAGCGCAATGTCTTATACCATTCTCTTTCAAAAAGTACTAGCTAGTTATTTAAATCAATAATTTTGTATCACAGAACCGTCTGGCGAAGAAGACAAAGAGCGTGAGAGCAGTACAGAAAGCAAGTCATCGAACAACGCGTCGCCAGCGAGCACGCAGGCAGCACTCAACGTGATACAACGCCGGCGCAGGCCGAAGCGACGCTCCACGGGCGTTGGTCACGTTGACATGGACGTACGAACTTCTATATACATTAATACATTAAACTACAGACTGTTCACAACGGTTCTTCCCTCGAGCGGGAAGAATATTACAAAATCAGGGTACTGGTAATTGCCCAAACGCTCGTTTATGATACGTTTGGATACGCTCAGCGGTATAAAACCTATGCGTATACGACAAAGGTGGCAGGGATTTTGGTCCTAACGTATCAGGAAGTCATTCGAAACTGCTCAATACGCTTTGCCTACATTTCATAATATTATGTATTATACGCACAATTTCATTTCGTCTACTAACGTTCAACATTTTTCTTCGACGCACATCATTTAATGATTTTCCATTTTTTCAAATAATTATCTAATCATCTTTTCAAACTTGTACAAATGTAAAAATTATTCATAACATATTTTTTTTTTCGTGTTCAAGCTCCGCTTGATACTCTGAAGTATAAGTGAACTTTTCGTTATTTTTCTGACCATTTCTACAGTCTACAGGTTTTTGTTTATTTTTTCATCGCAAATGCTTTTGGCACGCTGACTTTCGTTCATTTTCTGTTTTTGTGCTAGGAATAGGTAGGTAGGTACTGCTGTTACTGGTCCTACTGTTGTCGATATTTCGCACAATATTGGTTGTGATTCTCTAAGTCAACACTATCAGGATAATGGATGTAGAAATGTACAAGGTTGCTATGTGATTGCAGGAGCACGTAAGGGAATTAAGAAATATCTACTAATTTATTGAATTTAGAGTGCATAATATTTGTGTTGTAGATATGTTGTACTTGTGCTGAGAGTATAATCAAATTGAATTGATTGCCTATTTTGGCTCCTAAAGAGTTTGGTGTGGTGGCAAGTGTTGACTATTACAAACACTGCCATTGTCTGCTTATGGCAAGACGTTTATATGTGTCGTATTAGTAAGTACATCGGTGATGTTTTGTAGAAGAATATGCTATAAATTATGGTTCGTATTTATATGTTCTATAAACATGTAAAGCGCTGCACGAATGCCGTGGAATGCGCGTGCATGCAATCGGATACTTCTACATCGGACCGGCTGCCGTGGAAATCGCGAGCAAGCCGGTTCCGTCGGCACTCGGCCGGCAGCGTGCGGCAGCCGACATTACTCCCCGCGCTACTAGCTGCGGACAGAGAGACGCGCCTCGCGACCGCGGAGTCGCGCCGTCGCTCGGCGAGTTGCCGGCCTCGCCGCGCCGTGAGGACGGCCGACGCGCTGCGTCAGGTGTGATCTCGTAATTAATTCATGTATGATCAAAACAGCCAAGTGCTTTGGTGGTGTTCGTAGGTAGAACAAAATACTTAACTGTTATATTGTCCAGGGCAACGACAGGTGCCAATTGTAACCTGTACTTCTATTGGTTTATTTTTCCAATCTCTACTATACCTTCAATGTGTAACAATCAATAAAATTGGCTTTGTTGTAAAACGTACCTTTCAGTACTCAAAATTTTAAGGCAATTTCATGCCCTGTGGTTGATTGATTGTCTAATTATATGTATAAAATAGATTCTTATTCCAGCTAACTGCGGATGTCCATTGTGTTCCATTCATTTGATGAGGCTATTCCATTACTATGTTATTGGTATTTTCGCCAGCATTGAACCAGTAATTCTTTAAAGTAAAAAAGATATACCTAGCTGCCTTAATACAAATGACGCCGAGTTATATAATGTACTCATCCAAAACTCGCTCTTCGGCAAATATATGTGTACATGCACAGGGTTCAATACGAACTAAGCAATGGTGGCTACCGTCTTTTTTGCTCACCAGGTGGCGCTAATCTAGCATAAGATTACTTTGTCCAATCATTGTAGCTGTCAAAAATTGTACGTCGAATGATCTGACGCTAGGTAATCCTCTAATGGACGAATAGACGAGAGGTCCACACTAGTGGTCAGCAAAAAATGGTTGCCCAAATTGAATTCATACTGTTGAACAACAGTTGCACGGCCCGACCAACTCCTTATACGTAAAATATCAGGAGTTGACCATGCATGGTACATATATTAGGGAGTAACTTTGAAACTGGTCATCATAGCTCCCGTGTCGAAGTAGAAAGATTCTTGCCACAATGATGGACCTCCGCAGAGAGACGAATGAATCTATCAAACATCTCTGTATTTTATGTTACTATTCCTAAAGTTCCTATTTATCCTACTCTTATGTGATTGTTGTTCTGTTATATACTTCAGAATAAGTATGTGTTTACTATCTATCCAGTCATGAAAGCATCTGATATTAGATTCATGGAATATTGATTTATAATAATTGTATGCCACTCAGCGCACCTGCCTATGGTCTGGACTGTACCAGCATGTTTCTGTTTCATTGTAGGTTTCATCTTGCAGAAAGGATATGAAAGGTGTTCATAATCTTTTGAAGATTTCAGACTATTTATAGCAGCCCCACGAGTTTTCCTTCACCGTAATTACGTACTTACGTTGAAAGAAAACTACTGCAACCGCAGCTGGTTTTCCTCGAAATTTTAAAAAAAGTAAATTTTATTATCTTTTAAATATCAAATCGATAATCACCCCTATACAACGGGGTCTCAACGAAATTAAATTGGCGTATCAGTCCATATATTGATGTATTCATTAAACCATGTCACCATTCATCATCATCATCATCATCATCATCATCTCCTCCGTCATGATTAAGTTATGAAGCCAAGCGAAGCGAAGCAACTCGTTGTTGATTCCAGGAATTACAGCAACATCTATAAGCGAAGGCCGAATCGCAGAACATCGAATTTCCTACAAACCTACCAGGTGTATCAATATACCACGCTTTGATGATCATCCGGCATCCCAGGGCTTGATCTGCTACTCGCTTTTGAACTATTCAAATTAGTTTTAGTGTTTCATTATATGTACAGTAATAAAATAGTTACGCATAGATCCTGTTGCAACTGTGTTATCAAATCACTAGGAATATCTGTTATGAAGTTGATGACATCTGCGGTAGTTCACACCTCACATGTGCAATACATGGCTTTGTAAAACGTCACGCGCACTGTGGCCTATTTGTTGGATGACTCAGAGAACGAACTGTTATTGTGCGAGCCTATTGATAGTTTATGTTCACGATCTGCTTTATTGTATGTTTTATTCGATGAAAATGAAGATTTAGTACTTGTCGCAGAAACCCCTGTGTCGTATGGTCAGTGTTCAATGGTCAGCATGTCTTTGGTGGTCAATGTCAGCTTTATATGTACGGAAACATTAAGTAACAGATACATGTCCAAGCATATTTGGGATCCCATGTAAGTTACTGCATTCTGATTCTCTTAAAAAATCATCATCTACCATTATCGCATCGGACCCTAATTTGTTGAGACTAATATTTATTTTTTAGCAATTTAATATAAATCATCACTATAAATAAAATGTGTTGTGCTTGCAAGTGAGGGTCTAACCATCATCAATACCTTCATGTTACTAATTTAGTTAAGTGTTATTTAACAGTCAAAAGTTTATACTTTACCATAGAAACGGTTGTAGATCATCTTAGTTAACATTGACTACCTGTTCTCAGGATATTGTAAATGATCGCGGTGGGGGCGGCGAGGGCTGCGATGCGGACAACGAGGCACCTGCGGTAAGTACTAGAATTCTTCATTAGTAAATTAAAAAGTGTTCATTACTATTTCATCAAAATTTCATCTCTATTCACTTCAATAAATGGACATAATTTTAAACTGGGATAAGGGGTCGTAATGCAGCGACCACGTCTAGCAACTCCTGCACATCTCGGACGATGTACGCTTGTTTGGACACACCTTACAGTATAGTATGTCATTTTGCACGTAAAACCTTATGGCAAACATGATTTACTATTATAGTAGTTTATTTATGTAAGTGGATCAAAAGGAAGTAAAGACAAAGAAAATATGGACAGATTGTAAGGAAAAGGTATTTGTCATGTAACGTGTGATAGGGGAGAATGGAAGGAAAAGACATAGAGCACCGACCTTAAGTAAAGTGAGATAAGAGTAATATGATAATGATTATCATTATACCTGTTTGAAAAACAAATTGCTACGCTAAGACTAGAAAATAGTTTTATGTTGTTAAACTATTTTCTAGGCTATTGTTCAGTCTGAAAGGATAAAACTAATATTAGGTATGCATCGTATAGTCTATGTAAAAATGTAAGACGTTTGTATAAAATCTTTGTTTAGCGAGTGGTGTGGTACTCGTGGTGTGGTGTGGGTGGAATCGCTCGAAATGTTATGTTATTTATAGTGAAGTGACGATAGCGCCATAGTAGGTGGATATCGATGTGTTCGCTAGATTAACACTGTTTCGAAACTTTGTTGATAAATAGTGAGACGGAAATAATGTGAAAACATCTCCTTCGTATTTCAGCGACAATTGACATAATTATGGTACTGCTAAAGGAAACGAGTTTATCTGTCGGTGACATAAAGTTTTACTCCTTTCTGATAGATTCACGTATAGTGGATGTGTTAGTGTGCGATACTTTTAAAGGTAATTAGGTCTTTGGAAACACCGATTCTATACTCAATCAAAACACAGATCGCCATAGATGAAGCCCACGTAATGAACTAAAATAGTCATTAAGATATGAACACGTTCGTCATTATGCGTCATGAGAAACTTGAAAATAGCTACGTTTGGACACGTACGGCAATTTATTTTAATGAATCCTGTTAGTCACTAGTTATTAATTTTATTATCCTTGGACTAATCTCGTCTTGTTTGGATACGAAATGTTTAATGTGAGACGTGAAAGTGCAGCAGTACCATTTCGTTTATTCAGGTTGTTCAATATATTAGTCTACAAATACTTTCGAAGACTACGTCACATCTTTTTGTAGGTGGCGGAATGGTTTTGACCGTCGGTGTCCTACCAATATTAGCTTTTTCTTTCACGGAAACCATTAGGTACATCTACTATGAGACCAGTTCTTTATGAATGGGAAGTTTAGTCTAATGACTTTTCTAATTTCATTGTACAAGTGGGTCTGGGAATAAATTATGTGGAACAAAAATATTCATGTTTTGTTCACCGGTTGTTGATCGATGACAACCTGTCACAGTGATGAACGTGGACACATTAACTTTTTAAGAAATTACCGTCTTCAGGTGAAGTTATTGTTATTTATTTTTGTTACTTATGTTATATGCATTTTACTGACAAAGATAGATTTGGTACATTTGCCACCATTGACGTCTTATTTCAATATTTTAATTAGTTTTACGGCGTAGACGAGTAATGGATGTAGATTTTTTTAATCATCCGAGTTGGTTGCCAACACTTGAGGGGGGCGAGTGAAATTATGACTTTGTTGTTTACAATATATCATTGGATTTGTCATATTAATAAGAATATTTTATCTGTCCTTTTTACGTGTGTACTCCTATACGACTGGACAATTTTTGAGCAAGTCCAAATAGTTTATATTCACATTTGTACTTGCTTTAAGTAGGACGACATCTGTTGGAATTGCTAATTCTAAACCAATATCATGAAGTCGTAAAAATAAATACATTTATTTAACTAGAACTGTTTACAGTACTTATCGCAGTGTAAATCATCAATTAGACGTTATAATTACATGTTAATGTTTTGTTCCTACTGATCTTGGCTCTCGAATACTTTCGTAATGCGCTAATCCTTACTAATTACGCTGCTCTACGCAATGACCGCGTATTGTTATTTATTGGGTCATTTGACTACGTGACAGTTAAGGCACCTGTTCATGACGTACTTAGCAGGGAAAAGAAGCTGACAAATGTTGTGGCTACGTTATATTAGAAAGCTGCTCTATTTGACAAAGAGTTTAGAGCATCGCTCCATGCGTGACTTAGTTTTCAGTGAAAAATAGAGTTTCTTTTTTAATGTAATATTTGTGGACACATGAAAATCTTCCTCGAGTAAATACGTCACATAGGTACATATAATATCCATCTAAAAAAAATCATTTGAGTACGAAGTGCATAAGAGTGTCATTAATCTTGTAAGTAAAGTCAGAAATCTAAGGTGATGCAAAATGCATTGAGATGCACTAATTATTTTCTAGTTTGCAATTATCGCGTCATTGTGTCATTGGGCTGCGTCGCCCCGTGACACTCATTATAGTTTACTGACACCTGTTAGTATTGTATTTAGCTGAGGGTGTCCTAAAATGTTGCGTTGAGTGAGAAGTCGTTGAAAGCGTTATACATAGCACAGTCGATCTCTCAATGGGCCGTGGAGTTACGCCGTACTTCTGTTGTTCGCGACGGAAACAATTTCTTGAAATAAATCATGAGTCAATTGTAAGCTTCTGACTAATATATTCGGTCAGGAACACTGTTTCAAATAATGTACCACTTGGAACAAAGCTTGCAGAAACGGGTTGTCTAAGAATATTGGATTTTACATTGCAGCTAGATAAATTGTGGCAAACCAAAAACAGTTTCAGAAAATGTATAAAACTGGATAACTGATTGTAGTGTATTTTTTTTATAAAATAATATTTTTTAAGTGATAATATCCGAAATCGTCATTTTAGCGGCGTTCACCTCGCTGGTTGACGTCACCGAAACAATAGATGCGGTGTATTTCTGGCTGTTATATCGTAACTCGTATTCGTCAAATGCTATGAACTCAGCTGGTCCATATGATTTATATCGATCGTTTAAATTCGAGCGAGACTATTTTTATACGTCTTTTTATTATGCCGAATCTATAAAAATACAGTTTTCCCTGTCACTGAAATAAATCTTATGTATGTAACAACACGTATCCTATTTCTGTTGCCATGTGTATAACGTAGGTTCTCATCATAGCAGGCGTTGTTCATTTCGATTGGTTTCTTTGATCCTTAGCGCATAGGTACATAGATAAAAATAAATAGCTCTCTTTCAAGAAACATTAACTACGCAATTATAAAAGCTTTTCTCTGCACCGATCCTTTGATCTAGGAATTATTTGTAATAGCTGTACGTAAATTACCGCAGACGTGTTGCTCAGATTACAAATATTAAGTTCAAAACTTCTGACATTTTCGGATTCACACAATAAATATATATAATACAACACCTGAGAATATTCACTTTGGGAAGTATTTTCGAATTAGTGGGAACTAAATTATTTATAATACCTATTCAACAATTATATGTTACCTTCTCAGGCGCTTTAATTATAATGGAAATATCCTAACGGAGAATACATTTGAAAATACGATATCAATGACCTCAAACACAAATAACGACTGTTTTGGTTCCAAGTGTGTAGTTTCCGATCATCAATCGTCTGGTCTAGTCATGTGACAATGTTGCTAATAAATTACATCACCCGTCCACCGATTTCCGTATTTTGACATTACTAGAAAATAATTAACAACGTAATTTCACTTTTGACACTTTGATTTCTTTCCATGAATTTCACGAGACAATTATCTCGTGTAAAAGTCGCTGCAAATGCTAGGAATTTTGCGTAGAAATTTATTTTGATATAATTTTTTTCAGTGTTGGTACTGACTAGTTAGTTTTAAATATTATCAATCTTCTGAATCCTCTTGCATTTGTCTCTACTGAGAAGCTAATGGACCATTAGGTTTTGGCACGATAGTAGCACTCTCCACAAACAGATTACCTCGTGGTCTTGATAATCTTGTCAAATATATTTGATAACTCTCGCTTACGTCTTCCATTTGATATGGATAGCAAAGATGTTAGAGATTGAAGATTCAACATCTTCAAAATTTCATAAAATTTTGAGTTTAGTGACAGATTGTGTAATTTATTCCATTTCTACATCATGTTCATATGTGTGGGGTGTCTTCAAGGTATTTTAACGGGAAATAAAGGCGTTGGCAGTATATAAATACACAAATTCAACGCGGAGAATATTCGGTTGTAAACAAAGTTCTCCTCACTGTTCTCAATTCTCGTTTCATCGTCCTCAATATCTAGTTTTTCACTTTATGTGATCTAAATATTACAAAATCGTTTTAATTTTCTGCATTCCAACTTGTGATATTATTTTGACATCACGCTTAGTTAAAACGTCTTCATTTTTCTGAAGGACGAAGTCAAGCTTTGGCGCCTTTCGGAGATTAAATTTAATAGGGTGTAAATGAAAAACGTTCCTCAGTTAATGTAGCATGGCATGATTTCACTTTCTGCAGTTTATGGTGTCGTAATAATGGACGCGGGTCATAAATTATTGTGTTATGGTATTTTACTATTCGTTCATTTTGTTTTAATTATAGAAGCGGCCGACACTAAAACCAACTCTATGTAGGAAAAATGCAGTGAAAGAATTAGATTTAGATGTGATAGATTGTGTGAAAAATTATATGAAAGAGAAAGTAATTTGTTATAGGATGTCGTTTGATTGAGGAGAATGAAAAAGGAATTCACATTCTGCCATGAGGGTAGGAAGGAGCGGAAGCCCTTTTCCATGGCATGTAATTGACCTCAAACAGATTGTTGATATGAAATCAAATCAGTGACATGATTGAATATGTATTTTACTACAATATTTAAGTAGGTTTTTGTAATACTAAAAAATTCAGAATGTCTATTCTGCTATGATGAACTAGTGAAAAATGCTCTTACTACCGGTTCTCCGAAAATTCGTTA